AACTCGCCGCCTTTGTCACCTTCAACTCTCCCGTTCAATATATACAGACGACAAACATAACACAAATCAAAGAAAATGAGTTCAAGTCTATTAATGGTAGAGTCCTGTGATGCCCGCTGCTGCACAGGGACATTGTCTTCACCGATATATACTTCATCATTACCAAAATCTACACTTTGCTCAAAGATTGGATTATTTTCATTAGCTGTCCAATGATCCAATATAAAAGTGTCAAGTTTATCAATAAGGCAACCTGAATTATTATTTCTGTTGTAAAATGTAGAATCTACAGGCGGAACATATATACACAACAACATGAAATCATTAATTGAACTAAATGCAGCTTTAGGAAATTTTAAACATATCAAATTGTCTAGCTGTGTGTTAAGTTGAGAGCACTGATTAACAATTTCTTGTCTCACACAAACACACACACCACCAGAACATCTACCGGATGATGATTATTTCACTGCTGGGGCAAACTATATTTGATATTCAGGTAGCCAGTTTAAGTTCGCAAAATCAGTGATAAATGTCTCCGCCAAAAACACACAATATCAAATGACTTGAGATAAGCTATACAGTCAAGGTCATCAAACTTTTTACACAAGCCACTGATGTTCCATGATAATATTGACAGTTTATTGTTAACGATGTGCGAGTAGTTTCCATCCTGTGAGAAAAGATCCTGGGCCTGACCGCACTACTATCTCCTGTTATGAATGTCACTACTTCTCATCTATCGACTGGTTCTCTCCGATCTTCCTGTGTCTTGGGGTTGCCCATCACTACGTTGTTTAGTCATCAGCTTACCATTCTTTAACTAAAGTAACCGATCAATACCTCGATCTTGTCATCAGAGAGGCGCGCAGTTTAGTGATGAGCAGTCTCGGTTTAATCACGCCATTAGCAACCCAGGTCTTAGTCTTTACATTATTGTTCAAAATGTTAAGTACTTTGTACTTACAATCGCTGTGCGACTCCCCTGTATCCTCTGCAAGGTTGTATAGAATAATGTTGTCACGTCTGCTGAAGGCTTCTAGCTTATCGATCTTGCTGTCGAACTGTGATATTTTCTGTTCTGCGTTTTCAATCTGGACAGAATTCAAGGAGACGTCCTTGTACATTATGTCCTGATTGAGACGCACATTTTCCAGATCACTATTGAGGTTTGGATGGTGTGGGAAGATCGGGACGTGTAGGTACACATCTTGAAGGTTGAGACGGATCACGAAGTCTCCTGGATTGATAATCGTTCGCAGCAGAGTGATAAAGATAATTCTGAAGTGTGGAGGCGGTTGAAGGTAAGTGGTGTTGAAGATCTTCATGTTGAAGATTCAGCGGAGCTTGTCCAAATCCTTCTTGGGGACAAGAAAGATCGGCGAGTAGAGTGAGTGCGTTTTACGCTGCGCTCAGCAATATTCCAGCTATATAGCGGCCGTCTGTAAATAATCGAATTTGGACCAGACAATCCAGTGATCAACAGCATGAGCATCAATCTGCACAATTGGGAACTGATGACATGTTTCAACCAAGTCAGCAAGCCTGACCACCCAATCCCGATCGGCGAGTAGAAGTTGGGGAGTCGGGTGAAGAGACTCGATTACTCCTCTAGTAACGTACTTATGGTGGTTTGAAGAAGCTCCTTGTGGTGGGTCCGGGATATGTCCACCTCTGCTACTGGCTGTGGCTCTTACATGATTCTTGCATTGGGGTCGAAATGAAGCCTTGTTCCGAAAGGAGTCCCGGAGATCAGAGTTTGATGGGGCATATTGCGCCATGCATCTACGTTGTAAGGACTCTTCAAGTTGAATTTTCTGAAATTTCAGAAGTTAGACCTAGACCTGTAACTATGTATCCCGGTCAACCTTGGTACCTACATTTCTGACAGACCAGACCAAGGTTGACGGAAGAGCTCGACTTGAATGAGCAGCCTGTATCTTCTGATGGCTGTGATTTACCTTAAGAAGTGTGAGATCTGGTCCAACACCATTTGGAAATGTTCATGGATGACTGCCATTGCTCCTCGGATGTGGGCTCACTCATCTGGGTAGCTGCAGGCCCCACTGCCATGGCTACTGCTTCGTCGCCCAGAGGATCAAGTTGAGTGGCAGAAGGGTCTTGCAAATCGCCGTATCCATGTGACTAAGCTCCCAATCTTCTATAAGGTAAGACGAGTGATTACATTTAGGGCAGAGCATGAAAAACATCCTCGTCCACCAGTGGGAAAGTGATCATCGTGGTGAACTCATGTACATAGGATCGGCCAGAACAAACCAAGGAGCCGAAAACTGTCCTTAACTACAGTCCTTGAGGTTGGTGAAGGCGGCATCAAGGGGGCTGTCATCTGGGTAATGCATTGTCTAGGTGGGAAGGCAGTGGTAGAGCAGTCTCCCTGTTTCATCCGGGGGACTTGCTTCTGGTTAGCTGGAGGTTGTCTGCTATCCATCAGAGTGGATCCGCAAACCAGTGTGCCGAACCTGAAGACTTGAGTCGTGGTTGTCAAAAGAACTGGGTTCGTAGTGTGGATCGATGAAGGCTCTGTCCACTGAAGGGGTGTCGAAGTCGCTGATCGGTAAAGCATTTGAAGACTGGGTCGTGATCATCAAAGACAGCTGACCGGGGATCGTGATGTTTGCCAAAGTAGATAAGGTCACTGATTGTCCGGGAGGATCGCTGTTCTCCTGGTGCAGTCTGTAGAGATCACCAAATCCTGGGTAACTGTTGTAGTGCGGGGATTCGCCGATCCTAGCTGATTCGGTGATCTGTGGACAACCACTACCCTACATGGAACCGATGGTCTGGTGTCTGGCAGGCTTCTGGTGGGCTTCTGGTGGTATCTGACGAGTGGAGCAGCTGGTGAAGGTTGTCATTCAGGTAAGAATCCGTGGGAACGTCCAAGAAGTCGCCGTGCTCAGAAGTGGAATGAGAGACTCTATGAGCCTTCTTGACTGGTCTGTCTTTCTTGCTCTTCTTTGATGCAGACGGGCCTGAATCCTCTGGCTTCTTTCTAGCTCTGTCCGCCAGACGTCTAGATGTAGCCTTGCTATAGTTGGAGAAATTATCTTCATTGACGTTGACGCCAAAAGCTGCACCTAGAAGTCCATGCACATAGTCCTATAGAGTCAATCCATGACTATATGGACTCTCAAACAACTACGAGGTGTCAGCAAAACAAAACAGCACGTCAGCACTCAAATGTGACAAGAATGAGCATGACTACACAAAGGAGTTACATGACCCATCAGAGCACAGGCTGCATGCTTCTCAGGAGCTGCCAGGCTGTCCAGGAACTTTTGGGTGTGTTCGGGCGAAGGATTCAAGAGAGAAGCCAGAAACTTTGTTTACAGTTTGTTTCCACTCAACTGTCTATCATAAGACATACAGTACAATTTGTTAGATAGGATAAGTTTAAAATTTGTCAGATTGTCAACATAAGTATTCCTCGCTATGAACAATACACAACTTATTGTTCCCACAATAGCAGCTTCAGTCTACAGCTACTTCTGTGTGGGGAAACCTCCCTTCGTTTTGAGATCTCACAGTGGCAGTATTCTTAGAATTGTAAACAATAATAACTACTGTTGATGATACATACAAAACTTCTACCTCCATTACCTCCATTGAAAAAAAGGTCAAGGTCACCCAAATCGACTGGTGTCTGCGTAATCCCCCAATGTAGGCTGTCACCAAATTTGAAGACATTGGGTACAACAGTTCATGAGATATCGCGTGAACAAGAGTGTGAAAAGTGGTCAAAGTGTTGTGGTGACCCTGAAAATAAGGTCAAGGTCACGCAAATCGACTGGTGTCTGCGTAATCCCCCAATGTAGGCTGACACCAAATTTGAAGACATTGGGTACAACAGTTCATGAGATATCGCGTTAACAAGAATCGGGACGTACGGACGCAGCTGAATACATAGTCCCCAGTTCCGCACTGCGGCGGGGGACAAATATGCAGAATAATCAGACAACATGTAATAACTTCACTGTATTATGATTATAGTCCTGAAATTCTTAAGATGATACCCCTTTTTCAGGCACAGACTGAAGCATTGAATGTAGGTGGGTCCACCTATGGACACATCCTATACAGTGGTGGATCCAGTCTATTGTCACATCCTATACAGTGGTGGATCCAGTCTATTGTCACATCCTATACAGTGGTGGATCCAGTCTATTGTCACATCCTATCCAGTGGTGGATCCACCTATTGTTAAAACCTACACACTGGTGAATCCAGTCTATTGTTAAACCCTATACAGTGGTGAATCCAGTCTATTGTTAAACCCTATACAGTGGTCAATCCAGTCTATTGTTAAACCCTATACAGTGGTGAATCCAGTCTATTGTTAAACCCTATACAGTGGTCAATCCAGTCTATTGTTAAACCCTATACAGTGGTGAATCCAGTCTATTGTTAAACCCTATACAGTGGTCAATCCAGTCTATTGTTAAACCCTATACAGTGGTGAATCCAGTCTATTGTTAAACCCTATACAGTGGTCAATCCAGTCTATTGTTAAACCCTATACAGTGGTGAATCCAGTCTATTGTTAAACCCTATAGAGCGGCGGATCCACCTATTGTTAAACCCTATACAGCGGTGGATCCACCTATTGTTAAACCCTATACAGTGGCGGATCCACCTATTGTTAAACCCTATATAGTGGCGGATCCACCTATTGTTAAACCCTATACAGCGGCGGATCCACCTATTGTTAAACCCTATAGAGTGGCGGATCCACCTATTGTTAAACCCTATACAGTGGCGGATCCACCTATTGTTAAACCCTATACAGTGGCGGATCCACCTATTGTTAAACCCTATACAGCGGCGGATCCACCTATTGTTAAACCCTATAGAGTGGCGGATCCACCTATTGTTAAACCCTATAGAGTGGCGGATCCACCTATTGTTAAACCCTATAGAGTGGCGGATCCACCTATTGTTACACCCTATACAGTGGCGGATCCACCTATTGTTACACCACTTACCATGGCTGTGTAGGAACAGCTGCTCGTGATGGTGGAGGCTGTTTTCTAAGGAACTCATCCAGCATTGGCCCATTCCTTCCAAGTGGATCTTCTGCCGGCATGAAGTGATCACCCACAAATCTATACATCAGCAATCTGAAAAAAACCACCAGTGATTTGATAGGAATCTCTTCTCTTGTCAAAACACTCAATTATCCAAGAATTAAAAAATGCTATTTCACTCGAGCAAAATGTCCGAAACAAAATCTGAAATGATAAATCAAACCAGTGACTGATTGACAAAAAGATTCTTTCAATTTGTCGATTACATTTGTGTAACTGTTTGTAATGGTGAAACTGAGCTGGCCTGTAGTTTTGATTTTGAGTTCACAGTCGGTTGGACCTTGCTTATGCAGACACATGTGTTTTCTCAAGTATTGTTCAGGTATTATCCGAATCACTTTCCAGTTTGGGTTTCCTCAGAACTATAATTGGACCTATGGAGATCCAGGTTAGATTTGGTCTTCAGCAATCTGTACTTGTAGTAATCTGTACTTGTAGTAATCTGTACTTGTAGTAATCTGTACTTGTAGCAAGAGGTGATAAAGGTCAGTCTTTGGTACAGTTGGAAAGCAGTATTAGAGTAGTAAATATTTCCATAAGTATTGTCTCTTATGCAGGATTTCCAGACAGCATAAATAGGGTTCCACTGTAGTATCTTAAAGTTCTCTGGGACACAGCAGCTTCTCTAAATAGACCACACTCCTGCACCTATAGCTATTGATTTGTCAACATCTAGTCTGCTGGTTCCATCTGTGTGTGGATGGAAGTAAATGGGTTTTTTCCTCAGACCACTCCATATAGTTTTCTTCTAGGTGATGTTATGAGCAGGCTTTGTTCTAGATGATGTTATCAGCAGGTTGTGTTCTAGATGATGTTATGAACAGGCTGTGTTCTAGATGATGTTATGAACAGGCTGTGTTCTAGATGATGTTATAAACAAGCTGTGTTCTAGATGATGTTATGAGCAGGCTGTGTTCTAGGATGATGTTATGAACAGGCTGTGTTCTAGATGATGTTATGAACAGGCTGTGTTCTAGATGATGTTATAAACAAGCTGTGTTCTAGATGATGTTATGAGCAGGTTGTGTTCTAGATGATGTTATGAACAGGCTGTGTTCTAGGTGATGTTATGAGCAGGTTGTGTTCTAGATGATGTTATGAACAGGCTGTGTTCTAGATGATGTTATCAGCAGGCTGTGTTCTAGATGATGTTATGAACAGGCTGTGTTCTAGATGATGTTATGAACAGGCTGTGTTCTAGATGATGTTATGAACAGGCTGTGTTCTAGATGATGTTATGAACAGGCTGTGTTCTAGATGATGTTATAAACAAGCTGTGTTCTAGGTGATGTTATGAGCAGGCTGTGTTCTAGGTAATGTTATCAGCAGGCTGTGTTCTAGGTGATGTTATCAGCAGGCTGTGTTCTAGGTGATGTTATCAGAAGGTTGTGTTTTAGATGATGTTATAAAAAAACAGGCTGTGTTCTAGATGATGTTATGAGCAGGCTGTGTTCTAGATGATGTTATGAACAGGCTGTGTTCTAGGTGATGTTATGAGCAGGCTGTGTTCTAGATGATGTTATGAGCAGGCTGTGTTCTAGATGATGTTATCAACAGGCTGTGTTCTAGGATGATGTTATCAGCAGGCTGTGTTCTACAGATGATGTTATCAAGCAAGGTTGTGTTTTAGATGATGTTATAAACAGGCTGTGTTCTAGATGATGTTATGAGCAGGTTCTGTGTTCTAGATGATGTTATGAACAGGCTGTGTTCTGATGATGATGTTGTGTGTTCAGGATGATGCTGTGTTGTTATTCGAACAGGCTGTTTTAGATGATGTTATAAACAGGTTGTGTTCTAGATGATGTTATGAACAGGATGTGTTCTAGATGATGTTATAAACAAGCTGTGTTCTAGATGATGTTATCAGCAGGCTGTGTTCTAGATGATGTTATCAGCAGGTTGTGTTCTAGATGATGTTATGAACAGGCTGTGTTCTAGATGATGTTATGAGCAGGTTGTGTTCTAGATGATGTTATCAGCAGGCTGTGTTCTAGGTGATGTTATCAGAAGGTTGTGTTCTAGATGATGTTATGAACAGGCTGTGTTCTAGATGATGTTATGAACAGGCTGTGTTCTAGATGATGTTATGAACAGGCTGTGTTCTAGATGATGTTATGAACAGGCTGTGTTCTAGGATGATGTTATGAGCAGGCTGTGTTCTAGGTGATGTTATCAGCAGGCTGTGTTCTAGGTGATGTTATCAGCAGGCTGTGTTCTAGGTGATGTTATCAGAAGGTTGTGTTTCTAGATGATGTTATAATCAGCAGGCTGTGTTCTAGATGATGTTATCAAGGCTGTGTTCAGGCTGTGTTCTAGATGATGTTATGAGCAGGTTGTGTTCTAGATGATGTTATGAACAAGGTTCTGTGTTCTAGATGATGTTATAAAAACAAGGTTGTGTTCTAGATGATGTTATAAACAGGTTGTGTTAGATGATGTTATGAGCAGGCTGTGTTCTAGGTAATGTTATCAGCAGGCTGTGTTCTAGGTGATGTTATCAGCAGGCTGTGTTCTAGGTGATGTTATCAGAAGGTTGTGTTTTAGATGATGTTATAAACAGGTTGTGTTCTAGGATGATGTTATCAGCAGGCTGTGTTCTATGATGTTATAAACGTGAGCAGGCTGTGTTCTAGGTGATGTAATCAGCAGGCTGTGTTCAGGTGATGTTATCAGCAGGCTGTGTTCTAGGTGATGTTATGAGCAGGTTGTGTTCTAGGTGATGTTATCAGCAGGTTGTGTTCTAGGTGATGTTATCAGCAGCCTGTGTTCTAGATGATGCTATGAACAGGCTGCTGTGTTCTAAATGAGGGTATGAACAGGTTGTGTTCTAGATGATGTTATAAACAAGCTGTGTTCCAGGTGATGTTATGAGCAGGTTGTGTTCTAGGATGATGTTATAAACAAGCTGTATTCTAGATGATGTTATAAACAAGCTGTGTTCTAGATGATGTTATCAACAGGCTGTGTTCTAGATGATGTTATCAGTAGGTTGTGTTTTAGATGATGTTATAAACAGGCTGTGTTCTAGGTGAAGGTCATGAACAGGATGTGTTCTAGGTGATGTTATGAACAGGCTGTGTTCTAGGTGATGTTATGAACAGGCTGTGTTCTAGGTGATGTTATCAGCAGGTTGTGTTTTAGATGATGTTATCAACAGGCTGTGTTTTAGATGATGTTATGAACAGGCTGTGTTCTAGGTTATGTCATGAACAGGATGTGTTCTAGGTGATGTTATGAACAGGATGTGTTCTAGGTGATGTTATGAACAGGCTGTGTTCTAGGTGATGTAATCAGCAGGTTGTGTTTTAGATGATGTTATAAACAGGCGGTGTTCTAGATGATGTTATGAACAGGTTGTGTTCTAGATGATGTTATGAACAAGCTGTGTTCTAGGTGATGTTATGAGCAGGCTGTGTTCTAGGTGATGTTATGAGCAGGTTGTGTTCTAGATGATGCTATAAAACAAGGCTGTGTTCTAGGTGATGTTATGAGCAGGCTGTGTTCTAGGTGATGTTATCGAACAGGTTGTGTTCTAGATGATGTTATAAACAAGCTGTGTTCTAGATGATGTTATGAACAGGCTGTGTTCTAGATGATGTTATCAGCAGGTTGTGTTTTAGATGATGTCATAAACAGGCTGTGTTCTAGGTTATGTCATCAACAGGATGTGTTCTAGGTGATGTTATGAACAGGATGTGTTCTAGGTGATGTTATGAACAGGCTGTGTTCTAGGTGATGTAATCAGCAGGTTGTGTTTTAGATGATGTTATAAACAGGGCTGTGTTTTAGATGATGTCATGAACAGGCTGCGCTCTAGGTTATGTCATGAACAGGATGTGTTCTAAGTGACGCGCTATGAACAGGATATGTTCTAGATAATGTTATGAACAGGCTGTGTTCTAGATAATGTGTTATCAGCAGGTTGTGTTCTAGATGATGTGTTATGAGCAGGTTGTGTTCAAGATGATGTTATAAACAGGCTGTGTTCTAGATGATGTTATAAACAGGCTGTGTTCTAGATGATGTTATGAACAGGCTGTGTTCTAGGATGATGTTATGAACAGGCTGTGTTCTAGATGATGTTATAAGCAAGCTGTGTTCTAGGATGATGTTATCAGCAGGCTGTGTTCTACATGATGTTATGAGCAGGTTGTGTTCTAGATGATGTTATGAACAGGCTGTGTTCTAGATGATGTTATCAGCAGGTTGTGTTCTAGATGATG